CCCCGGCGGCCTGTTCCCAACCCGGGCAGCACAAGCCAAACGTTCCCCCTTCCTCCAGGAAATGGGAACCAGACTGTGCCCCTCCCTGGCCCCATCAGCCGTGGGGATTAACGGCCTCCTCCATCCTGAGCCGGGAACAGCCACCGCCTGGCTCCCGCCCGGTTCTAGCTGCGCCGTCGGAAGAATAGCTCAGGCATAAATCAAAGGGAGCTCAGAGAGCCCCTTTCCTGGCGGACAGGCCCGGGCCCGCTTCCCTCAGGCGCTCGCTGCGGCTGCCTCCCCTCTCCGGCAGGCTGGGAATACAGCCCTTCAGCGCTCTTAAAGGGACAGGCCCGGAGGGTTGAGTCCGAGGGGCCGCTCCGTTGTCCCATTTGACGCCAAGCTGAAGCCGTCAGAGCTCCGTGGGCTGCGGTTCCCAGCCCGGCCGCTTTACCAGCCACCGAAAGAGCCTGAACGTCCCATTGGAGCAGGCCAGAGGCACAGGCGTGCGCCCGGCTCTAGGGAAACCAACAGGTTGGGACCCAAATAGGGGTCGCCATTACGTTTTAAAGGGTCGCCAAGTGTCTCCCCCCCCCGTGTTTGAATTGCCCTGGGTCTCCAAGTCTTCCTGAATTGTCAAAATGGGTCCCCGTCTGGAAAAGGCTGGAACCGCTGCTCTAGGGAGACAGGCCAGGTTAGCTCTCCTGTGGCCTAGGGCGCTGAGATTTGGGGGGGGCCCTGGATGTGAGTCTTTTTCGTAATGTAAAGCAAAACGATCCCAGCGCTGACATGGCGGCCGCTAACACGGCTCTGAACTTGCCTGGTTGCAGGAGGGGGTTCCGACCTGGGTTGGGGGCAGGAGTGTGAGGAGAAGGCGGGAGGTGCTAACCAGACAGTTCCTGGCAAGGCTCAGGTAATGCTGCTGCTCCTGGAAGTGGCCAGCTGCTGGCACGTCGCTGCTCAGCTCTGTGCAGTGCCCATGCCCGCAAGCCCACCCATGCCGGGGCGGCACACGTGAGCCGCGTGGGGCCATAGCACGCAGGCAACCTGCCTGAGCCCTGATGGACTTCTAGCGGCCTGGAAACCGCAGTTGTCTGGGAGAACCGACGTTTATAATTACGCATTTCATTTTGCAGGGCCCCCTTAGTCCGGGAATTAGTCTGGCCCCGGGAGTAAGAGAGCAGGCAGGTGCACAGCAAAGTTCCCTCTAATCTTTTCCAGCCACGTGTGGAATAAATTGCGTTCTGTGCACTGAGGCAGGTGCCAATGTGCACCACCAGTAGACACGTAAGCCCAGCTGCAGGCACTCTGCTAATCAGCCCGGCTCTGAACGGCGCGCTGCTAGCGGCACTGGACCGGCACAGATCACGGCAGGACAAGCTCCCACCACGGCTCTTCAGTGGCGATTCGGAGGGTGAAAGGGGAGGTCGGCCTCCCTGGCACCTTGCCACTGGCTTCTGCCGGTGGGGACAGGCTGCTATGGGGCAGGTCCGGCTCCCAGCTTCCCGCTGCAGTGACAGATGGCGTGTGCCATTGCCAGCCGGCAGGGCCAGCGCAGTTCGCTCAGAGCGAGCCATGTGCGGTGGGGCGACCCCCTTCGAACTCCTGGTACACGGATGGCTCCATAGCCCTGCCGGCCTCACCCCTGCCTTTTACCCCCTCCCTGCCGAACACCCCAGGGAGTCCGGGCCTGGGGCACTTTGTGCTCACAAGGCCTCTCGGGCAGCGTCCCTCTACCGGCATCTCATCTCCAGCCCCTCCAGAGAGACTCACCATGCAGGAGGGGGGCTCCGCCTGCACCTCAGGGGCTTGAGGAGGCGCGTTCCCCTCTTGCCACGACTCAGGGGCAGGCAGCAAGTGCCAGAGAATCGGGATTTCCTGAAGCAACTTGGGCCAGGGGCGCAGGGCGTTGGTTTCGCAAAAGCAGGGCTGGTTCGGACCCCGGGTCCAATTACTCAAATCTCCCTGTTTGGGCCACTTGACCACGTGGCTCTCGGCCGACCTCCAGTTACCGCAGGCCCAGGCTGGTCTGCCGGGCGCCTTACAAATGAGGAAGGCGGGGCCACTCGACTCTGGAAGCCCCAGGGGCCACAATGATACTCACCGCACATGCTGAGGGCTGCAATTTAAGTGTGGTTGCATAGACATGCAAATATATGCAAATATATGCAAATAGCTTCTTTCACACTGACAGGCACGAATACAAAGATTGAGCCGCGGCGACGGACCCAAACGTGGCCAGTGTGAGCCAGTCAGCACCTCCCAGGCTCTGCCCACGAGGCTAAGCAGCCATGTACCCGTCTGTTCTAGCCAGTCTGTCTGCTTGCATCTTTCAGTGCTCACCCCACCTGGGAGATGCCTCGCTGTTGTGGAGTGTGTTCCCAGTGGAGGCCACGTTGAAAGGATCCCACCTGTGGGCCGCGTGTTGAGCCCTGTGTAAACCCAAACCGCACCGCGGGCCCCAAACAAACAGGCTGCGGGCTGCATGCGGCCCAAGGGCCTGTGTTGAGTAGTCCCGGAGTAAGGTGTCGGTTTCTGCCTCAGAGAGCCTAGCACCTCACCAGCTAGAACACGGCTAAGGGGAGGGGACAGGTGCGCCACCCACGCCAAGCGGCCGAGGTGGGGCTCAGAGAGTGACTTGTGGGGGGCCCCGATTTATGCAGAGCTCTCCCCGTCAGCGGCCATCCCACCCCCCTGGAATCCTGACCTTCCTGGGGGCGAGCGCTGGGCGCCCACGCAGGCGTCGTTACTGCTCCGAGAGCTTCCAGAGGTTCAACCAACAGCTGCCCTGTTCACCTCTGGGAAACGCGGCACAAACTTGCTGCGACGCCTGCTGCTTCAGTTCACCAGCAGCGGCTCCACTGTGAGACACGGCTAGATCAACCCGCGCCCAGCGCTGGCCCTGCTTTTCCCAGCAGCCTCTTTGGCGGGAACGTCGCTGGGTCGGGCAGCTGCTGTTATTACATGCGCCGGCTTTTATTTTTACATCTGCAAAACACCCGCCCTCTGGGCTGGAAGAACAACAGAGACGGAGGCCGCACGGCGCGATT